AATCCAAGATAATTCTGCGTTTGTGCGTTTTTTTCTTCATATAACATTTTCTTTAGATCTTTGGATGCTTTATATACTTTAGTTTAGTTCCTGTTAGAATTATGTTAAATGAGTTAATGCTGATTTCTACATTATTAACTGTTTTAAGAGAAACGTTGCACGTTATGCGTTCCGTTATGTGAAGAGCATATTTTTTCCAGTCGACTTTTATGTTATTGTTTACTTTATTAAATACTTGGTACTAAGGAGTAATTAGTACCGGTGAATGATCTGATGACGAATCTAAACATGTTGACACTTCAAAATAAGTTTTTTATATCTTTTACTATAGCAAAGTCGATCAAATCCAGAAGCTTGTTTGTATCTGTATGCTAGTATATTGGTTCTCCAGTAGATATCGGAATGTAATTATTTTTTTGTAGTATTTCATAGAGTAGTCTGCCTCTGTATTCTGAAGTTGCTGATCTTGATCTCCACCAGAGATGTTTCGCATTATAACTGCTTCCTACTAAAAAGCGATATATTAGTTATTGGAAATGTCTTTTTTTTGTATCCAATATTTACAAATTTCTTTTGTAATTGTTTTGTTTGGAGTTCAGTAAACAGCTGATATTGTTATCGGTCTGTGCTTACTCTTGATTGATTGAGTGTAATCCACTGGCTGCTTGTAAGTAGATTTTACTAGTGTAAATGTGGATGTAGTGGTTTATTCTTGTATTGATTATAATCGCAGTATCTCCGAATACTTTATTAAACGGGTGATTGGTTTTATGTACAGTGTTGTTTGGTATATCAAGATAATTTTTACTTGTAAAGTGTGTTTCTGATATCAATATGATGTCTATATTTTCATAGATTAAAAATGCTTTCAATTTAATATGCCTCTGCATAAGATCGTTTCCGTTCTCGAGAGCGTATTTTAGATTGCTCATTATCTCATTTTGCTTACTAGTGCAGTTAAAAGATTTAACACAGTATCCATTCTTTGCATTAGCTGCTCTATCATATGTTTTAGTTTATTATTTGGATTTACTTCCTTCGTATATCTGCATATCTCTGCTTGAACAACTATTTTTTTTATATTTCTATCTCACTCTGATCATTTTGTTTTGATATTACCTGTCCATATGTGATGTTTCGTCTAACTCTATTGACGTGGGCAAATGCCAAATTAAATTTTTTTAAATAAATTTGAATTTGGATTTTATGAACTTGAATACTGTTTTGATTTAATGTTTTTTCTCGTAGTCTAGGAAACAATTTTTACTATAACTGTTTACAAACTGGGCATCCATTATAGATTCCATGTGATTTTCTTTCTAATATACACATGTTACGTCTTTTATTTTTTGTTTAATTAGACATTCTTTAATTTGGTGTTATTCAGCACATTTCACATACACAGCACTTTTGTAACAATAGTTTTTTGTGTGCCCGTATTCTTGGCATTTTCGACATTGAAGAATTTCTCTTTTAACGTTTATTGGCTTGAATTTGATTACCGTGTTTAATAGTTGGTGTACTATATACATTTTCTAGCTTTTATAATGATGTTATATTTCAACTGTGAATAGCGGCAGTAGTTTTATGATACGATGACTTATATTATGAATACTTTATACTTTATATCCATGTTCTTCTATGGCTGTTTTTAATTCATCTATATCAACTGATGGGTAAATACTTCTTAATATAATTTTGAAACCTTTTTCTTTTTTGCGCCCTTAAGTGTAAAATTGTGTGTTTTTTCTGTCTAATTCTGTTTAATTAGTAATTATTTTTCGGAAGTTTTGACTGAATTTTAATTTTGTTTAGTACTATTACTTTTAAGGTATAATTTTCTTTGGCTATTATGTTCAGTAGATTTTCGAACGGTTTGATATTCTCTACATTGTAAACGAAGATCGGAGTGGATTTTGCTCTTCAACTTACTTGCTTCGTTGTTTTCTTCTTCACCATGATTTTCCAGTTTTCGATGTTTTTATTAAAAATGATCTTGTCATCTCCTGACTGGTTGTCCATTTCGGCCGTTGTTTTCTTTTTTGGAAGTTTATTAAATTGAATTTTGAATTTAACTGTCACTTCACTAATTGGCTAATACTTGTCAGGTAGAGTGTAGTGTTGGCACTTCTGCACACCTCAGTAATCAAACTTTAACTGATTTAAAGATCATGTTTGATATCTTTGTGAGATTGCTGTACTTAATCAGGTTTACTCTATATATTCAATAATTATAATTGATGCTGTTTTTGCTACAATCTCCTATTTAATGTGTACGCTAGAGATATGCATGCAGTAGAGGTGGCGTGTCTAATGCAGCATATCTCCATGCGCGCGGTAACTTCCACAGCCGTGAATCCATTCGGACTGCTATTAGCTCCGTGAGGATAATCCGGGCTTAGTTAAATAATGAGGCAGAGATTAGATAGTAATGAAATATTTTATTGGTATACAAAAGAACAAAAGGTTTTCATTGATCTGATGCATCACTGTAACAAAGGAAAAAGACCGACTGTCACACAACTGAATATTCGGTAAAGCGCGCTACGAGAGACTGACCACACCGAGGATCGGGTATCGTATACCGACCGTCGGTAACGACTCCTGGCACCTGATTGGTTCGGCCTCACCCTACTGACAAAAGGAGGGGGTAAGTTGGTACGGTGAATTAAGGCTCGGTCTACCGATCAGTCGACTACACGAATGGTTAAACTCAAGGGGAGAGTAGGTCAATTCCCTAAGTCTCAGGCAAAATATCAGAGGGACGAAAACACCCGAATGCTTATGGCTTGGATTATTGTTTTCTCGTCTGAAGGGAGTTTGCAATATTCTAGGCTACTTCCTGCCTTTTGGAAGGTCGGGTATATATGTAGTAAAGATGCACGTTCCGGGAGCAGACTTTAGTGGCTGCCTAGTGGCTGATTGCGGAATAGCAACGTTAACGTTACAAATGAAATCTTCCATATTTACATTATTCCGTTTGAAATATTATTTTCAACAATTTTTCCGAGTACTTTCAAAATATTCAGTAGAAAGCATATTGATCAGAATACATACTAATCAACTACATAGTATAAATATACGATTAAATAATATAAATAGGTGATTATATAAAATAGAAGTAAATATTTTATTTAATAAGATATCCAAGACCTTCGTTCTTGAGTGGTAGTCATGTAAGACTGTGCCATTTTTAGAGGGACGTGATGACTTTCAAAGAGATGTGATAGCACTATAAGCAGCAGTTTCGGCGCTATAAGTTCTGGAGAAGGAAATTTACAATGACAGGATAGAAAAAAGTAGGGGTTTGATTAATGATAGCGTTAGTGAGTATATAATCAGTATGATAATGAGGAGGGGAGTAAAATCACATTAAGTGTTATATAGAATACTTGTTAATAAATTTACTCATTATGGAATGAGACGAGCTGTTAATTAAAAATATTACACAGGAAAAATCTTTACCTTTAAAATAAATTACATTGTGAATATTCAAGGTTTTCAATATTAAAGTAATTTCATTCATTGAAAATTTGTATTTGCAATATTTCCTAATATTGGATAAAACTACCTTTAAAAAATTTAAATTCTTATAAATGGATTGACAAATATTATCATGGTAATAATTTTATTCTTTACTGATACATTTCTACGAGGATAGCTCAATAAGTCTTTAGAAAATCCTAGAGATGACGCGAAGCATTTGGTATGAGAAGGCAAGAAAATGATGCTCAGGGGTTAGCTGGAATCTACTAATTTATTTAATTGAAGTCTACAGTTGTTAGTACGAAAACTATTGGAGTGAACTATGGCAGCGTGCGATCAGGATCAGTCGAGAAAGTTGAATGGCGAAGAAGAGAGAGCCAGCCGAAAGGGGGCGCGTGCAGCAGGAGAAGAACGATGAGCTGCCCCTACTCCGAGTCACATTCGATAACTCGCCCTCAGCGGTCATTTCACCAAACATCCCGCCCGCCTCGTTCCGGGAACGACCCTATGAAGGATTGCCTTCCTTACTGAGCTGTTCTTCGGCATTTGGGAGAGGCAGTCGGGCGATCTTGACGGCTGGGCGGACGTACTCCCCAGAAGCTGTGACAATGGTGGCGGTCCGAACCGTACCGTCTGGACCCGGGTGTACGGCAGTGATCCTTCCGAGTGGCTAGCAACCGTCTTGACGAAGTAATGAAGGATCGGCGATGATGACGAATTCGCCGACTTGCAAATTAGGTTGGGGCCACCTCCATTTGGGCCGCTGGATGAGAGTGTTTAGATACTCTCGGCTCCAGCGGGACCAGAAATGTCCTCTCATAGCTTGAATAAGCGCCTAGTGACTAACACGATCCAAATTCTCGTCCTTGGAGATCGGCTGTGGATAAGATGCAGCAGAAGTCCCGATGAGGAAATGACTGGGTGTGAGTGCGTCAAGGTCGCCCAGATCGCCTGACGGCGGCACGAGAGGCCGACTGTTGAGGATGGCTTCAACAGCGACGAGAAGCGTAGCGAACTCTTCGTAAGTAAGTCGTCGAGGTGAAGCAACTCGCTGAAGGTGCCGCTTCATCGACTTTACCCCCGCTTCCCAGAGCCCGCCGAAGTAAGGGGCCGATGGAGTAATGAATCGCCAGCTAATTCCTTCCTTGGCGAGCGATTCTTCAACGACTCCCCAGTCAATCTTGGTTTCTCTAAGGAGCCTGCGGAGCTCAAGGGCGGCACCGCGAAAGTTGGTGTCGTTATCGCTCCAGATTTCAGCTGGCCGGCCTCTCCGACCGACGAACCGCTGCAAGGCGCCAAGGAAACTGGCGGTGGTGAGGTCCCCAACGAGCTCGAGGTGGACGGCCTTGGTACAAACGCAGACAAAGAGCGCGACGTAGCCTTTCACAGTGGGGGCGCCTCGCCCCTTGTTACACAGATGGAAAGGCCCGGCGTAGTCGACATCGCAAGTCGAGAACGGCCGGGAGGGCGTCACACACACACTCGGGCCGGCGGAAAAGAGGCCATGCGCGGGGCTAAGGTCTTCGCCGAAAGTCGGGCGCAAACAGTGCAGTTGCGGAGGTACCGCTTGACTCGTACCTTGGCCCCGGTAATCCAAGCCTTCTGCAGTGCTCGAGCATAGGTTGCCCTGAAGCCGCCGTGAATACAACGCTCATGGGCCCATTGTAATACCAACTGAGCGAGGTGTGATGATCCGGGAAGAAGGATGGGGTGCCGCTCGTCGTAGGGTAAAGCGAGCGGTCGAGTCGGCCCCCGACTCGGATTACCCCGTCGTCGTCGAGGAAGGGCTTAAGAGATTTCGTCCGACTGCAGCCCTTTAGCGGATAGCCCTGGCTCAGCTGAGCGAACTCCTCAGCGAAGAAGTGACGTTGCACAATCCTGGAGGAAGCGATGAAGGCCTGGCGGAACTCGGACACTGTAATAGGAGACAGTGGCGATGCAGTGTCTCTCCGTCTTAGAAGACGAATGGCGCGTGCGGTAGCTCGTAATAAGGAATCGAGCGTCGAAAACTGATCGATGTGACTCTTCTCCGGATGCAGTGGCTCGTCCTCAATCTGCACCGCAGCGCAAGAAACGTTGTTGCCATGCCGGCATGCCAGATGGTCAGTGTCGTTGACCTCGAGAGGCCATTCGTTTGCTGATTGCACCAGCCAGACTGGGTCGTGCCACCAGAGTGGGTGCAGTGCAAGTTTGGTGGAGTCGGTGCCGCGGGATGCGACGTCGGCTGGGTTGCAGCTCGTGGGGACGTGGTGCAGAGTGACGCCAGTGGAGATCTCTTGCACATGGGCCACATAACTGTCGATAATGTCATGCCCCACGGGTTCGTCTGAACGGAGCCAGTCAACCTGTGAATCACTCCAAAGATGGCAGCCCATAGGCGGGATCGACAGTGCGCTGGCGGCGTCCTTTAGCAGCATCGCAGCGATCAGGGTGGCGCGAAGCTCGAGCCTCGGGATGGTCATCCGCGCTCGTCTCTGGGTGGTCGGGAGCAGGCTCTTAACTGGGGCTAACTTTGACTTCGCGCAGAGAATGGTGCTGGTGATTTTGCCGTTGCTGTCGGTAGCTCTGACATAAATGACAGCGGCAATGGCTTGTCGACTAGCGTCTGCGAAGGCATGTAACTGCATTTCCTGTCCCGGGGTACTGCCAAGCTAGCGGTCTATCGAAAGATCTGCAGCCTCTCGAATGCTGGTGCGAAATGCCAGCCATCGGTCGAGCCAACTGGCCGGGAGTCTCTCGTCCCACTCGTACTTCGCTCTCCAGAGGTCTTGGATTATAATTTTAGCTACTAGAGTCAGCGGCGTCAGCCAACCTGCGGGGTCAAAGATAGCAGCGAGCTCTGCCAACGCGGTCCTCTTCGTCAGACTTGAAGGTGGATCGACGATCCCAGGGCGAAACTTAAAGTGATCCGTCACTGGGTCCCAGATGATTCCTAACTCGCACACTAGCCCGTCGGTGGAGAGCCGAACCCAGTCTGGCCGCAGACGGTCTTCGGCGGGGATGTCTTCAAGAAGACCGGGCTCATTAGCCACCCACTTGCGTAGATGGAAGCCGCCCGCCCTGAGCAGACCAACAAGCTGATCTCGGAGGCTCTTTGCTGTCTCTAGGTTGGGACGGCCACTAAGGAAATCATCCATATAGAGATCCTTTTGAAGCAGCTCTCGGGCCAGTGGAATCCGATGTCCTTCGTCCTCACCGAGTTGCTGCATGGTACGCAATGCGAGATAAGGGGCGCAAGCCGTGCCGTAGGTGACAGTTCGGAGAGCAAAGTGTCGAGATGGCAGGTCGCACAAAGGACTCCAGACGATGCGCTGCAGATGGACGTCTCTCTCGTCCATCAAGATCTGCCGGAACATCTTCTGGACATCGGCACAGAAGACATAACGGTGTCTCCGCCAGCGGGCGATGATCGTCGCGATATGACCTTGTAGCTTCGGACCCGAATGGAGTGAGTCATTGAGACTGAGACTCGTCGATGTGTCGCGGGAGGCGTTAAACACCACTCGCAGTTTGTTTCCTCCGTCGCTGCTCTGCCAGATGTCGTGGTGAGGAATGTAAAAAACCGTCCCCGAGTCCTCACGAACTTCCTCAGCGGTCAGTAGTCTCATATGACGCAGCTGCTCGTACTGCTCCATAAACTAGCAGTAACTGTCTCGCAGAGCATGGTCGGAGCGCTTTCGTCGCTGCATGGAGGTGAGGACGGAGCGCGCATGGGGTAAACTGGTCCCGAGGAGGGCCTTCTTCTCTGGCTTCAGAGGCAGTCGAACGATGTATCGACCATCGGGCGTCCGTCGGACTCCTCGAGCCTCGCACTCTCGATCGGCAGCCGAGATCCGTCGTACCGACGGAACGTCTTCGAGCGCCCAGAACCGCTGCACCAGTGAGAGAAGCTTCTCATGACTGCCTTCGTCGCACACCTGGACCGCAGTGGCGAGGGCCCTGGTGTGGGAGTGGCCGATCGACGACTCAAAGATCGCAGTGGAACCCATCAAGGTCCAGCCAAACGCCGTGTTCTGAGCCAACAGGGAACCGACTCTCCGGGTGCCGGCTCGAATGACACGATGGTAGAGATCTGCTCCTATGACAATGTCGATCCGCCCAGGCTGATTGAAGGTAGGATCAGCCAGCAATAACTTGCGACGGATATTGGACACTTCAAAGCCGGGGACTCCCGATGGTGTGACGATGCCGATCGACCGAAGAACGACGGCGTCGGCCCAGATGGGCAACCGTCGCCCGACGTCTGCAATGTAGATCACCGCTTAATATTAAGCGGAGTCCATTGCGGGTCCAGTCACGCCGGTCACTCCCACGTTAGTACGACGTAGTCAGCAGCCTATTTTGCGGGCGAAGTCGAGGCTGATGATGGTCGCCTCTGAGCACGGGTCGAGCAGCGCCCGCGCTGCAATCTTGCGGTCACCGCCATTGCTTAGAGCGACAATGGCCGTGGGAAGCACGGCTAGTCACGCCGTCCCGTCCTCTCCAGCTGGCTTTGCGCTAGTCGCGGCCGCCTGGAGCGTCGCCGGATGACCATCGTGAGATGTAGTCGGTTGTGATTCCTCATCCGTCTGACGTCGGACTCTTCCAGCGCCCTCGTGGATCAAGGTATGGTGGGCACCAGCGCAGCTCCGACAAGTGTTGTTGGAGGGGCAGTTTCTGGCAGTGTGACTACTCCTAAGGCAGTTGTAGCAGAGGCCTCTTGCAGCTACCAGCTTCCGTCGCTCTTCGGGCCCTAGCCCTCGGAAGGTTAGGCAGTGTTTGACATAGTGGGTCTCCTTGCAAGCTGGGCAGCCCCCCCTTGCGCGAACCGTCCCAGTGGCATGTGCTCGGATTGTCTTCGGGGCGATGGGCTGGGCAGTCTTCCGTCGACCGCTTAAGTAGTCGTTGGAGGAGGATGTAGCCACCTGACCGAGAGCGCGTAACGTGCATTATCGCCACTGCAAAAACTCGGCGAATTGGCTGAAGGAAGCTTTGCTGGTCATCGATGAAGCGTCGGATGACATGCTGGGCTCAGGCTCTTCCTCTCAAGCTCTCTTTGTGACCGGATCCAGGGCACGCACACCCATGAAGACAAACGAGGCGTCCCACGTTTGGATGGGTTGGTTCAGTCGTTCGAGTTGGGTGCGGCACCTATTCAGCTCATCCATGAGCGACTGTAGGCCTTCTGGTGTTTCCTCCATGAGAGGCCTCAGATTCACAAGAGCGGCAAGGTGGTCTCTTACTTGCAACTTCGGCTGGTCGTAACGTCTGCAGAGTGCATCCCACGCCTGTTTATAATTGCTCGCGATGGAGCGGAAGCTGCGCAGCGCCTCCTCCGCTGGCCCCTTGACGTTCGTTTTGAGGTAGTTGATCTTCGTCGCATCTCCTAGCGTAGCGTTGTCATGAACCAGGTCCACGAAAAGATCCCGAAAGGCCTCCCAGTCTTCGGGCTTTCTGCTGAAAGTAGGCAGCTCCAAGCGAGGTAACTTCGAGAGGGGAAAGTCCGTGCCATGGTCTGCCGCAGTCAAAGATACGTTGGAGGTTGACGCACGGTCCTCTGAAACCGCACAGCGGGCTCGATGATCCAGCAACATGCCACGGCTCTCCACGTAAAGCTCCTCCGCCAGTACGAAGGTGTCGCTCGACCGATAATCAACGGCCGACTCATCGCCAAGGGTGAGGAGCTGGCCATGATTGTGATGAAGGTCTCGCCAGTTCTTCCAGTAGCTCAAGCCTTGAGTTGATGGACCCGAGCGTCCAGTTCGTCGTAGGCGTGCTTGCGACCCTTTCAGCAATCCTCTGGATGGCCCTTTTCAACTCCAGTTGAATGTCAACAAGCTCCATCTACCGATAATGCGGATGAAATTTAGTGTGGGTGCCGTGATCGGGCAAATTCGCGCGGGCAGCCAGCTGACACCTGAGGCCGACCTCTCGGCGCACGAGGCCAGAGCGCTAAGCCGAGCGAATTCGACCCTAAGTTCGGGTCGGTTAAGCGCAGTCGACAAAGGAAGCCTGGTTCGACAGTCCGACGGCTTGTCGTACACTTAACGACCTTCCTACATGATAGCTCAGCTGATCTCAGCGCTTCACCGTTGCGCCGCATGGCTCGCTCTGTCGTACCGATCGTTGCTGTAGGAGGTTCAGCGAGCCAGTGAAAGCGAGCAGCCTTGCTAATTTCAGCGCCGCTCCATCGGATCGGAAGCGGCCTATGAGAAAAGAGACCCATAAGGCCTCATCGTCGTGTCGGCTGGAGTGTAATAAATAGTTGCGGGGAGGAGGGTCCTCCGGTCTGCACTCTGCCATCCACGGAGATGTTGATCATCTTCAGGATGGCTCGTTTTGCTCCACTGACTCGCTTTCTCCAGACAGGTCCTGGTGCGAAGCGACTTGCTGAGCATCCGAGTAATCGTCTGCAGCAGCCGCGTGCTGCGACGTTCGCTGATCGTAATGATGCCGTCATCAGCGACGGCCGCCCGCCGCGACGCCCGCCATTTACAATGAAACTCGGCTCTCGCGCATTCCAGCGATCGTTCGAGACCGCCGTTTGGCTTCACATCCGTCGTCGGTGTGCGATGCTATCGCCATTGGCGGCCGCCCGCCGTCACGTCAGTGCATTGACTTCGTCGTTGACAGCCACCTGTCGCAACGCCCACCGTTCGAGCAAAAGCGCTTTCGCGTCAGCGGTCAACCACCGCCACGGGCGCCACGTGGCAGTCCTTGTGCTCATGCACAGCAATCTTTCACTGCGGTGGCTCGTCTAAGTCAGCGGCCGTCGGCCGACGATGACTACCAGAGCCACGCTAGCTTCCACGGCTGGCTCAGTCCTGTTAGGAGTTAAAGAGCCATGCTCGCGTTGCACATAACTCGTCCGCCATTGTTCGCACGATACTTTCAACTCACCTTTGATTCGTTTTCTTTCCGTCAGCGGATCCGGCTCGGAGGACCAAATGGTATGAGAAGGCAAGAGAATGATGCTCAGGGGTTAGCTGGAATCTACTAATTTATTTAATTGAAGTCTACAGTTGTTGGTACGAAAACTATTGGAGTGAACAATGGCAGCGTGCGATCAGGATCAGTCGAGAAAGCTGAATGGCGAAGAAGAGAGAGCTAGCCGAGAGGGGGCGCGCACAGCAGGAGAACGATGAGATGCCCCTACTCCGAGTCACATTCGATAACTCGCCCTCAGCGGTCATTACACCAAACAGCATTAAAACTTATAATACAAAAGCAAGTGTAACTTCAAAAGAGAATGCTGCTGAAGTTCTTGCCAGATCCATCAAATAGTTCCGTTTTTATCGTCAATCAAAGTGTACAACTTTTGTTTCTTGTTAATAATGGAAAAAAGTGAGTTTCGAGTGGTGATAAAATATTTCTATTTAAAAGACCTTACACCGAAAGAAATCAAAGATAACTCAGATGCAGTTCATGGTGTATCTGTCCCTGTGTTTGCAACTGTTTACAATTGGGTAAATGAATTTAAACATGACCGTACATCGACTGCAGATGGACATCTTTCAAGCCATCCTGTAGACTTGAGCACTCCTGAAATGATCAATAATATCCAAGACGTGGTATTGAATGACCGAAGAATAAAATTACGTGAAATACGAGGGTCGTTTAAAAAGTCCGTGCAAAGTCAGAGAGATGGCGCTACTAGTACGTATCAAGGTTATTTTCAATTAGTGGCATATCTTGGAAGAGCACACACCAAGTTTCAGCCAGATCGGCCAATTACTTTGCGTTTTAATTCGTTTCAATCAAAGAAATCGAGTGGTTGTAAAAAAATGGACGAAAAAGAATTTCGTGTATTGATTAAACATTACTTTTTCAAAGGCAAAACGCCTCAGGAGATTAAACAGAAGCTTGATAAACATTATGGTGTTGTGCACCTTCGATTAGAATGGTTTATAAGGGGTTTCAAAATTTTCGGAGTGGCCATATGAGCACAAAAGACGCTGAACATTTTGGACGCCCTGTTGAGGTTACTACTTCAGAAATCATTAATAAAATCCATGATATGGTGATGGCTGATAGAAGAGAGAAGGTGCGTGAGATTGCTAGTACTGTAAGCATCTCGAGCGAACGGGTACATAATATTTTGCACCAACATTTAGACATGAAAAAGCTATCCGCTAGATGGGTACCGCGATTACTCACGATTGACCAAAAACGAGATCGTGTTGCAAGAATGGTTTGCAGCTGTTCCAGCAAAATCCGCAAGACTTTAAGCGTCGTTTCATCACTATAGATGAAACATGGATACATCACTACACTCCTAAGACCAAAGAATAGTCTAAACAATGGGTTACCAAGGGGGAATCTGCTCCGAAAAAGGCGAAGATAATTCCTTCGGCCGGGAAGGTTATGGCGACTGTCTTTGGGGATTCGCTAGGAATAATCTTCATCGACTATCTGGAAAAGGGTAAAACCATTACAGGCGAATATTATTCATCGTTATTGGATCGTTTGAAAACCGAGTTGCCAGAGAAACGTCCACGATTGACCCACAAAAAAGTCCTCTCCCACCACGACAATGCGCCAGCTCACGCCTCAGCAGTTATGGCCGCAAAACTGATGGAGATAGGGTTCCAACTCGTTTTACATCCCCCCTATTCTCCAGACTTGGCTCCGTCGGACTACTATTTGTTCCCTAATA